AAAAATCAAGAAAAATCAATTCACCTGATGACACCCATCATTCCCCGTTGGCTTTCGCATTGATGCGATTCTCATCGGCGAGGGTACGGCCCCGTTAAGCCAACAAATCTGTTAATAGTCGGTCACCTGGAGACGAGATCCTTGGCAGTGGTTACCACTATGGACGAACTGCTACGCCATGCGGGCTTGCTCTTTACCGCAGAAACGGCCTTGGTTTTTCTTAGGCCTAACTTCCCTTTACACTATTCAGGTTTTCCCCTCTTCAACCTACACTTTGTCGTATCACATGCCCTTAAAGGACGAATTCACGATTAGAATGAAGGTCGAAGAAGGAGTAATTCACCTAGTTGAGGGACCCGCGGACCTCCTAAGGGTGCGGACTGAAGCGCAATTGGCACCGAAGGAGTTGACCTCGGCGACCTATTAAGGCTCAATCTTGGCGCGGTGGGCCAGTGCACGCCCACCGATCATCTGATCACTCGCCGCAGGTCTATACGTGGCGAGTGATTAGATAGCTGAGAGAGCGTAGTGTTGAAGAGGGCACAGCGATGAGAGTCGCATCAATGCTCAAATCAACGGGCAAGGAAGGGGTCCCATTTCTCGGGTTCTGGGCCGTTTCTCATGGTTTTTCCTTCTTTCGTGTACCACTCACCATCCCTAAGTTAATTTGAAATGGGTTGCCTTTCCAGCGTGAATTCGTCCTTTAAGGGCATGTGATACGACAAAGTGTAGGTTGAAGAGGGGAAAACCTGAATAGTGTAAAGGGAAGTTAGGCCTAAGAAAAACCAAGGCCGTTTCTGCGGTAAAGAGCAAGCCCGCATGGCGTAGCAGTTCGTCCATAGTGGTAACCACTGCCAAGGATCTCGTCTCCAGGTGACCGACTATTAACAGATTTGTTGGCTTAACGGGGCCGTACCCTCGCCGCTCTTGGTACGCCCGAACGTTCGCTGCTCTCGTCGTCCGACACTTGCCGCTTTAACAGAGAGCGTTAGCGCTTATGAGAGCAGCACCGATGAGAATCGCATCAATGCGAAAGCCAACGGGGAATGATGGGTGTCATCAGGTGAATTGATTTTTCTTGATTTTTTCCTCATTTCTGCATCAGTGGTTACCTCGACCTTGTTTTCTAATCGGCTATTCTCTTACCGAAAAGCCCATCTTTGACCATTCGAACTAATCAGGGCAGCTCTGTGCTGAAACTCAGATCCTTACAGTACTGTCGAGGTCGATATTTAGACCCGACTGAATGTTCACATATATATGAGGTGTTGAAAAATTCCAGGACTGGGACTGCAATCTGGAAGCAAAAGCAAAGGCAATGATTTGGCCATGCACTACGCCTCTGCCAATAGACACGAGTATTCCACAAAATCTCGCTCAATGGTCAGTAAAATTCGATAAATATTCCACTTCGCATAAAATCAGCAAAAAATAAAACTATTCAGGCTACTTTTCCAAAACAGTCAGGAAACTGAAGTGTTGACGCAAACGCCCTGGTCTTGGGTAACCGCATCACTACGAAATCTTCAACCTGATACAGAAGCTAACATTTATAACTGGCAAATTAGACCACTATCCAACGTGAGTATTTAATCCTGATTCTATCCGCTGCCAAAATGGGGACATATGAAACAATTCCTTTATTTTAAGATTGCGAACTGGCAAAACCTAAAAGTTGGATGTGCTCACAAAGTGTGCAAATTTCCCACCGGGACAAATATGGTTGTGTCTTGCGCTTATGGCGGCGAGTAGGTTTTTTTGGTGATGAGCACTTTTTATGGATTCCTGAAAGTCCTTGCTTACGCTATTTCTTCGCTCGGGCCTCTAGGAGCAGACTTGCTTAGTGTGCAGCCACGCCCCTTCCCTGCCGAGCTTCCAGTTGTTTTTAATCAGTTGGTGTTTTTAGCACTCGATAGCAGAATCCGAACTGATGCAGCTATTCTCGAAGGAACGGTGATTACAGTTATTATATAAATGTGCCTGACCTAACCAGGGGCCGGGTGCAGCAAGCCCCAACTAGGGGAGGGATCCCCAACCTTGGGGATATATCCCCAAGGTTGGGGATATGTATCCCCAAGGTTGGGGATATATCCCCAACCTTGGGGATATATCCCCAACCTTGGGGATATATCCCCTACTTCGTCGCAAGACCCATCGTTTTTCGGTGGCTCCTGTGACGCAACCGTGCGGGACGGTCACTGCCGTCGACCCTCTGCGTCTCTGCAGGCAGGGGATACATCCCCCTAGTCGAGACTAGGGGGATTCGTCCCCTCACTTGGCGACGCGGAGAATTGAAGGCAGTTTCGGGTTTCTTCACCCTCTATTTCGCTTCGTTATTCGCATTTCTTTTTTCGCCATTACCTTGCCTTTGTTCATTCGCTGTTTTCTAAGCACTGTTCACAGTTTTAAAATTATCGAATATTCAAATTTGCGAAAAGAATCAGATACATATCAACATTAACCCTTTCGGCCCTGGCGGTGGCAATTGCCACCACCAAATTCAAACGCTTGCATTTCCGCTGAAACAGCATAGTTTTTCTAATCCTGCTAGAGTTTGCTTCAGTCAACCTTCCCCTTCCTAATTATGAGCTTAACCGGCCATTTCATTGTTTATTGCTGTTAGTATTACAAGTATTTGTGTACAAGTGCAACAATGAATGGGCGCTGACCCCCGCAACCGGCCAAGTAAGTGTGACTTTTTCTTAAAATACTTGAAGTGGATCCATTCCTAAATCAAAATTATGGGTTATAATGTTATGCAAGATTATAAACTTTTTCGGCATAACTATGAAACTTCGAATTGTTTCGACATAAGCTTAAAAACTAAGAAGGTGGGCCAATTTTCAAAGCTTCTTAGTTTCTTTGTTTGTGATCGAATAGCTTCCAAATTTCGCCATAATGATACCTATATGCTCACAAGTAAAACAATAGCTAGAAGAAAATTTCTCCACGGGGAAAAATTCAGGTCCGAAAGGGTTAAGAATCTGCGCACGCGCGAAAGCAGATGCGAAAAGGATTAAATGCGTGTCGACATTGTAGAGCACGCTGTATTAGCGTTGCTGGAGGATTTTTGCACCGCCGTTTCGCGCTGTCGATCTCCGATTGACTCGGTCGATAGACACCCATTTCTTTTAAAAGGATTCGCAGATTTTGCGCGATTCGATGCTCCTCCCATTTTGTAGATCGATACGCATTTCATTCATTTCGCATTTGCGCAGATTCGTTCGTTTTGAGCGTCATTCGGCTGTGGCGCAATGTGTGAACAGTGCCTAGGAAAGGCTCAATGTGCCTCTGCGAGAGGAGGGCGTGGCGCGGGATCCACCGCTCGTTGCGCTAAAAAAAGGAATTTTAGAAGTTCGGCGAAAATTGGCGGGGTATATTCTAGTTAGGGGGCATCACGATGCAGTTTGTTCAACGTGAGAAGGGAGAAGGCAGAGCTTGAGAAGGAAGACTGCTTAGACACTTCGGATTATCTCTTCTCCTCTAAGGGTCAGCCCCAAAACTGAGCGTTTCCGTGAATCTGACACCATTCACGGGGCCACACTGAGCCAGAAGAAACCACAGAATCAAAAAAAGAGGGAAAGGCAATTGAAGAAAAATGGTTAACGATGTGAAAGAGGCGCTCAGCCTCCAAGACCATTTGCCACTGTATTTCGTAAGAGCCACGAAGTGAAGAGATAGTAACGGTTCCTATGTGTGCCGTGCCATTGTATTTCGAAACTGCCATAGTGCTACGAAACATTAATGGTCCGTGAGCCTTCGAGATGCGGAAGCCCTGGGTCCTGCGACGAAACCCTTGAACGATTCGTAGAATGTCGAGGATGGGGATATGTCCCCAAGGTTGGGGATGTATCCCCAAGGTTGGGGATGTATCCCCAAGGTTGGGGATGTATCCCCAAGGTTGGGGATGTATCCCCAAGGTTGGGGATGTATCCCCAAGGTTGGGGATGTATCCCCAAGGTTGGGGATGTCCCCTCGTTGGGTGAGGGGAGGGATCCCCAAGGTTGGGGATATATCCCCAAGGTTGGGGATATATCCCCAAGGTTGGGGATATATCCCCAAGGTTGGGGATATATCCCCAAGGTTGGGGATGTGTCCCCAAGGTTGGGGATATGTCCCCAAGGTTGGGGATCCCTCCCCTAGTTGGGGCTTGCTGCACCCGGCCCCTGGAACTTTCTCCCCCACCTGCAAGAAAGCATGCACTACAGAGGCAATCGTCGCTTTTGTACTTTCTTCCCCACTTTCTTCCAGCCCTATCCTGGTAGCCTAAAGCGACACCTACCTCACCATCATGGCTGTTTCTGTAGTATCTGCTTCTGGAATCAGGTATCACACTCCAACTCTGCCCCATAAACTCCTTCAAGACTGCCGTAGCGGGGTTGGGTGTCCCCCAAGAGGCCCGTCGCGCGGCGAAGGAAGAGACGCAGACGCGGCAAAGGACGAGTCGCAGCGCATACTGTAGCGGTTAGGCGTCAGGTTAAATAGAGTGTACCATACTACGTCTCATATCGCACAGCACGCGCTGCGGCTCGTCCTTTGCCGCATCTGCCTCGGGCCTCTTGAGGGACACCCTAGCGGGGTTATATGTGTGCGGGTAGGGGTGCGCCAAGAGCTCTTATACGCTCACTTCGTGCCTATTTTCCTGGGAATTGTGAGAGCTCATAAAGAGACCCCTTCCTTTCACTTCATTGCATAACACAGTTTCCACCACATTCACGAGAACCAGAAATCTCACAATCCTCCCGCTCCCCCGTTTGATCTTCGCTCAACGGACGATTGGTCCTGATTGCACTTCTCACTAACGCTAAAGCCTCACCTCTCCCTCTTGCGAATTGGAGTGTTTCAGTACCGTATTTTCGGGTGTCAGACACACTGCTTTATCCGTCTTGAACATTGATATGGAGAACTTATCGTAGTTCTGATCTTAGGTTGTCCCTTCTGTTCTCAGCTATTGAGACGAGTACTGCATGCATTTCATTTTTCGCTATATCATAGCTCTATGTAAACTATAAACTACAATGTAAAAATATAAAGCAAAGCATGAAGTGCCATGTATCCCATTTCAGAGTACTCCAAGATAACGAAGTTGTATGGCAGAAGGGACCAACTTGCGATGTGCAATGCTTATCCCAACTCGTTCTGCTGCAACAATCTGTGTGACACAATAGCTGCTGCGACACTTCGCAACCAGCCTTGTAAATCGACTTGAAGCGAAAAGGCGTTGCTGATGTCCCGAAGAGAACGGAAGTAATCACATCAGCCCATAATGTCGTTCATCGTAATAAACGCACTTCTCTGATTGCGTTTTACAATTTCATCTTCGACTGACAACCCTTTTAGAAATGTACCATGCATTCTACTTCTTTTTAGAATCGAATTCAATACCTTTCAAACTGACGCTTCAAATGATGGAGAAGAATAGACCTAAGATTCGATCCCCCAACTAGCAGTTTCGCGAAGGCAAATGCATGCCAGGGTGCTCCAACGGCAGTGCTTGTGCCTTCACCCTGCTCTGTCCATTTCTTCAAACAGAAACTGAACATGATCGAAAAAAGGGGATGGAAACACGGCCACGAAAGTAGCGAAAAACGATGAGAACTCTCTGTAAACGGCGCAATACTCGCATAGCCCTTCTTGGTATGTGTGATGTTTGCCATGATCTGGTAAGTCATACAGCAAACAGTCATGGCAAGATGTCGAAGATGAAGACGTCCGTACATGACTCAAGTGAGTTGAAGGAGGAACTTATGATGAAAAGCATCAAAAATCAGGGCAAATGTGGTCATGCGGAGATGAGAAAAAAAACTAGGAAAAACAACCCGAAACCTAACTAGGGTCGAGGAACACCTGGATGGTTTAAGTGGAGCACCCCTAGGGGCTCACCCTTGCAATCCCATGGAGGCGCAGGATTCGAAGTAGAAGTCAGCATTCTGCTGCGGGAACCACTCACACCCACACGCAAGACTCTTGGGTATTCTTCATCAACGCTAGGTCCCCCAAAATGATTGGGAAAGGCGAATGCCTGATCATGACTTCGAACTCGCGCCTTTTTCTGACCTCTGTGGGCTTCGTTTGCCGTCGGCTCCAGGCCGATCATCTGAAGCCACCCTCTTAGACTCAAGTTAGCGGTGGTCGACACCAAGTCCGGTCGTTTCCTAAGGTTGATTTCGTGATTTGTGATGCCTTTCTAGAGACATCGAGTCTATGGGACTTTTCCTGAAGTTTGAAATGATGCTTGGGGGAATT